TTGTATGTGCCCGCATGGGATGGACTTAGAAGGGAGATTCTAAGGGATTGCCATGATAGCCGTTATGCGGGTCACCCAGGTACGCATCGCACACTTGCCTTACTCCATGAACGGTTCTATTGGCCTCGCATGCGGGAAGATGTGGAGACGTATGTAAGGACTTGTCTAGTTTGCCAACAAGACAAGACTGAGCAAAACCACCCGCATGGCTTGTTATCACCCTTGCCTATTCCGGAACGCCCGTGGGACAGTGTTTCGATGGATTTCATCGTGAGCCTGCCCGTTTCCGAGGGTTGCACCAACATACTTGTTGTGGTGGACCGTTTGTCTAAGTATGGGGTCTTCATACCCGCCCCAAAAGAGTGCACCGCGGAGATAACGACCAAACTCTTTCTTAGGCATGTGGTGAAATATTGGGGGTTGCCTACATCGATCATAAGCGACAGGGACTCGAGGTTCACAGGCCGTTTTTGGCAAGAACTCTTTCGTTTGCTTGGGACGGAGCTCAAGATGTCTACATCTTTGCACCCGCAAACGGATGGGCAGACAGAGCGCATCAACGGCCTCTTGGAGGTGTACTTTAGGCACTATGTGGCAGCCAACCAGAAAGATTGGGTACGTTTGCTAGACGTTGCCCAATTTTCCTATAACTTGATGCGGAGTGAGAGCACGGGCAAAAGTCCATTTGAAATTATCCTTGGTTTCCAACCGACTATGCTTAAGGACATTCTTGGGGGCTACAAGGGCAATAGCCCACCCGCATACAAGTTTGCCAAAGATTGGCAAGAACGGGCCGACGAGGCAAAACTCTACTTGGAGAAGTCGGCCGCGCGCATGAACAAATGGGCGGATAAGAAACGGACCCGTCGCGAGTTTGAAGAAGGCGACCAAGTCTTGGTGAAGTTTTTTGAGCATGGACGGAGCCATGGTCTACACAAGGGTCTCATGCGCAGATACGAGGGTCCTTTCACCGTTCTTAAGAAAGTGGGTTCGGTTGCTTACAAGTTGGAGCTACCCGAGGCCTTTTTAAGGCTTCATCCAGTCTTTCATGTGAGCCTACTTAAGCCATATCGCAAGGACCCAGAGGACGAAGAACGGAACGTTTCCTCAAGGGCACCAGCTGGCGTACGCGAGCATGAGGAACGGACCGCAGAGGAGATCCTTTCTAAGAGGATCGTTCGGGGCAAGAGCGGGGCAGCAACTAAAGAATACTTGGTGAAAGGGAAGAATTTGCCAATGAGTGAGACGAGTTGGGAGCCAATCGAGAAGCTTTGGCAATTCACCAAATTGATCAAGGACTTTGAGGAGAATCGTGCACCCGTTCCTATCAACATTGCCTTCGAGACTTAGGTGCATCGGGGCGATGCACCGTTTTGGTGGGGGAGGATGTCACGGACAGTTTTTCTTCCCCACGAATTCGGGTGGTTTGCTGCAAAACAGGCTATTTTCGTAGACGGACATGGGACGGAACGGTCTAGAGCCTTGTGGAATTCTACGGTCAAATCTTGAAGATTCTAGAATTTTCTAGAGAGGCCCGGAACTCTCTAGAAACGGGTGGAACCGTGTGGAAGATTCTAGAGACTTGTAGATATTTTGAACTTAGAATATTTTATTGTAGGAATTCTCTAGAATTCCATTATTTTATTATGTACATAGAATTCTCTAGAATTCTTTAGGACTTGGGGTTTGCCTATAAATACCCCATGCCCCCTTCATTTGTAATCCATCCAAACTTTGAGTAGAGTTCTCAAGCATTCCCTAAGCTCTCTTGTGCCTTCATCATTCTTTCACTTTCAACCTTTCTTAAGTTTTTCTTTGCCTCCGTTCTTTAAAGTCTTGCCTAGCTTTGCACGCTTTGGGGGTCTGAAGGCTGAGCTAGCACTTGATCGTTAGTTGTTTTGTGCTAGTGCCGCACGGCCGTTACTTTGAAAAAGTAAGCCCGTGACACAAGGCACACGGGTCCAAACCCGCATACGCGGGTCCATACTTATCACAGGTCCATAGGTCGTGGGTTTGGATACCATGTCAAAGTCACATTGGGCTCCCATCTCAAAATCAATTGATAACGAGTGGGTGGCCATTGACACTTATAAACAGGTGACAGATCATTCACGATATCAATGTGAAATTCTTTGTCCCAAGAAATAGAAGTCCATGGGGTTCCACCTTAAAACCAATTCTTCTGGGTATTCTTTGAATAACCTGTGAAGATGTACACTTCACCGAAGAAAATTCATAAGGATAAGGAGGTTGAGCCTACATAGTTTGAAGAGTTTGTGGCTCAGGCCTTGTTTGACTTAGAAAACACCAACCAAGAGCTCAAAAGTGAATTGAAGGATCTGTACATCAATTCAGCTATTCAGGTTGATGTTTCTGAAGGCAAGAAGGCTATTGTTATTCATGTTCCGTACAGATTGAGAAAAGCTTTCCGCAAAATTCATATGAGGCTTGTTAGGGAGCTTGAGAAGAAATTCAGTGGGAAGGACGTTATTCTCATTCTGGGAGGATATTGAGGCCCCCAAAGAAAGGTTTAGCTGTTCAACGACCCCGAACCCCTACACTTACTGCCGTGCATGATGCCATGCTAGCGGATGTTGTTGTACCTGCCGAGATTTTTGGGAAACGTTTTAGGTATCGCATTGATGGATCCAATATAATGAAGGTTTTCTTGGACCCAAAGGAAAGAAACAACACCGAATACAAGCTAGAGACCTTTGCTGCAGTTTACAGGAAAATCTCAGGAAAAGATGTCGTCTTCGAGTACCCATTGAATGAGGTTTAGATTGGACTCCCTCCGTCCCATAATTATTGTCCAGTTTGGATTTTCATTTCTAGTACAAATTGTACTAAAAGTAAAATATCAAACAGGAGAATAATTTTGGGACAGAGGGAGTATTAGCGGAATGTTGGATGTAGATCTTATGGTTGCAAGTGCATGTTACTCTCAGTTTTTGGAAATTTTGACATGAATATTTTGGGGAGGGAACTTTCATGCTTGGCATCAAATTTTATTTCCTCAATATATATATAGCTCTGTTGGAAGATTATGAATGTACATATCAAAGATTGTGTTGTTTCTATGGATTTGTTCATTAAAAAAAAAAAAACTCTTCCGTTGAAGGAATGTTTAAACTCATGAATTTAATTTTTGTTCTGTGTTTTAATGGAGGGGCTTTTTAGCCAGTCGACTTGTGGCTGTTAATCACTAAGGATAAATTTAACACTACAAATGTCGGAATAAGTATAGGGGGGTTTATTAAATATTAAATTACTATACGAGGTTACCTTGTACTTTTGAACACCACAAGGAGTATTTATCCTTTTTTCTTAATCTGCCGCAATAAGGTAACATATTTTTCCTGTCGTTTTTCATTTACAATTAAAATTAAATAACCTTTTTTTTCAATTACACTCATATCTCTCTTTATTTTATTTTTTTTTATAGAAAAACCATACTTTCATTAATTCGTTGGAAATCGTCCAACTACGTTTGACATTACAAAAAAACAGTCTAAAACATAAATCACAACTTCTATTACATCTTCAATTAAAATCACACTGTTGTGTTTGATAAATCCATACAGATCTATCCTAGTCAACGCTGGACATATCTCTCTCTATTTTAAATAAAATATATTGATGGCAATTGCCTAATTTTTTAGTTTAAAGTCTAATTTTTGTTATAATTATTGGCAAAAGAGGCATAACACTTCAAAACTAAAGAGCGATTGAGAGACTTGCTAATGGGATCCCAAATTTTTTAGTTTAAAGTGTACAGAGTTTCAATCTAGAAAATGAAGAGAAAATCCCGCATTTTCTAGATTGAAACTCTGTACACTTCGCTCATTTTCTCTTCATTTCCTATGGTTGAGTTCTAGCTTCACAACAGTACGAAAATTCTTCACAAAATTATGGTTCAAGAAGAAGATATTTGGGTCCAGGGAGATATGAATCAATAATTGGGTTTGAGTTTGAATTGAATTAGTCCATTACCTCTATTAGCTGTTCAAAGCTGATAGTTACTGCTATTCAGCCTCGGAAAACTTATTCAAGAAAAAGGGGGAAAAAAACACTTTGGAAAACTAGTAAAATTGATAGTACTACTAAGCATTGGGTTTTCCAAAGTTTCTAATATATTTATATTTACGTATGAAAGCATGTTAATAATGAAATCCTAGCTTGTTGGCCATAACTGATTATTTCAAAAAATAAATTGTAAACAACTAGATGGATACATAAATCTTCCAAGGCGACAATTAACAGAATAATGGAACCCTAGTTGACCAAAAAATTAAAACTGATTCATGACCAAGGCGACATTTGAGCACTCAGAATTTGGTTTAAGATGGATAAATAAATCAAAAAGATGGATGAATAAATCTTCCACTTAACCATAATTTGATTTAGTTTTTTCTGTTTACTATGGGTTTTTTTCTTTTATAAATCACATTAATACTCGAATACAATCATTATCGAGCTTTTTCAAGTATATCTGCACCAAAAGAAACAAAAAAAATATTAGTATTTGTTATGAAACTAAATTATCTTTCTTCCGCAATGGAGAAAATAAAAAAGAATATAGGTTTGTTGGTCCAATGAGTCATCAAAGCTATGAAAATTATGCTCGAAGGATTAAATTTTTTTAATTGATCGGCTCGAACTTAACACTGCACTCGAATGAATGAAGGTTTGATCGGAAAAGTTGGGAGTTGGGACTGTTTAAACTTTACACATTTACGTTGGATTCCGTTATTTTAGTCTTGCCGTCTTTCCGCTTGAAAGACTGCACCTAATTGAACGGCATTTTGTTATCCCAATGCCTAACTATTAATTTTACAACTAGTTTTCCAAAGTTGAATACCATTAACCATCATCTTTGAACAGCTAATGGAGGAAGCCTAATGGACTAATTCAACTCAAAAAACTCTAACCCCATTATTCTTGAACCATCATTTTGTGAAGAATTGTTGAATATTGTTGTGAAGCTATAGAATTAAACGATGGGCAATGAAGAGAAAATATGCAAAGTGTACTTACTACTCAAGGACTACCCGAGTTTCAATCTAGAAAAAGCGGTTTGTAATCATGGATTCTTCATGATGGCTCCAAATGTTTGGGATCCGATTACAAAGTCTCTCAATCGCCCTCTGAGGCTCTACGACAATTTGGCTTCCGTCAACGTTACGATTTCGAAGCCTCCTGAATACAATTTTCTCTTGATACAAGTTCATGGAGTAGACAACTTATCATATGCTGACAAGGAAGCCATTTTGGTAAACTATTACTTGCTTGTTCATCAAAAGAAAATGACACAGTTTTGTATACTTGAGTTTGAATAAAACTATTTCTTTTCTTCTTTTTCTTTTTGACCATTTCTTATTTCTACAAAGGGTCAGGTGTCAAGGATGATGAGGCTATCAACAAAGAATGAAAATGATGTTCAACAATTTCAAAAGATTCACCCGGAAGCCAAAAATGTGGGATTTGGTCGCATTTTCAGATCGCCATCTTTGTTTGAAGATGCTGTCAAGACCATTCTTCTCTGCTTCTGCAAGTAAGTGTATGTACCTTTGTAGCAAGTATAAGGCAGGAGATTTAATTTATTTGAAGAGTTAATTAATTAATCCAGTAGTCTTTTATTTAAATTCTTTTTGTTAATTTGCTGTTATAATAGTTCATTGAGTTTTTTTTGGCAACTAGTTTATTCTTGTAATCAGGACAGGCTAACTTCCTAAAGTATAATAAAGTTCCCTTTTCAAAAAGTATTCATATAATGTTATTTTTAGCTATTTTCATAACTTAAACTCGACATGTTAAAAAGAATTTGGATTGTTCAGTATGAAGTATGTGTTTAGAGAGGTAAATTTTGCGTTTATTTGGTTGTTGTTGCTTCAAGTCTTGTTGGTTTTCAAGCTCTTATTGATCTGTCTATATAGGAATCGTTCAATGGTTGGTAGGCTTTTTCATCTACGAAGTATGTTAATTTCTATTTTTTCATTTGCAACCAAAATACTTAACCTTGTCATTGCATTTGTGGATTCCGTAGGCTCAAATTAGTTCTTGTAATTTACTTTATATACAGTACAAAAAACAGAGAATTTTCCATAGTTTTACTTATTTGGTATGTTTTGTTGACCAGTTGGGAGAATTCATTAAGAATGGCTAGAAATCTTTGTCAACTTCAATTGGAATTGTCCATTGGATTGATTAAAGTTGCTAAACCAGATCCACAATCTCAAAAAGGAGGATACAAGAAGAGAAAGCATGATTCTTCTTCTTCTTCTTCAACCCAAACAAAAACCATACAACAAAGTGTGGGAAATTTCCCAAGTGCTGAAGAATTGGCAAGTGTGGATTTGGAAATCTTGGAATACCATTGCAGTATGGGATTCAGAGCATCCCAAGTCCATAAGTTTGCAAAAGATGTCATCAGTGGCAAATGTAAACTCAGCCATTTCGAGACGTATGAATCGCAGAAAGAGTTGCATAAGAAGTTGATGAAGATCAATGGTTTTGGGTACTTTGTTTCTGCCAACATCTCAATGTGCTTGGGATTTTATGGAAAGGTCCCTGCTGACACTGAGACCATAAGGCATTTGAAGGAGGTGAATATATGGATTAGTTTTTCTTAAATCCCTACTCTTATTGGATTTTCATAGAACAGAAAGCGTAATTTTTAGTTTTTTATAATCTAATCAAAATGTGACTCAAAACTTCAAGTGTGTGACAATGTTTTCAGGTACATAAAAGAAAGAAATGCACTAAGAAAAATTTCAGATCAATGGCTGAAGCTGTGTACAAGGAGTATGCACCATACCAGTGCTTGGCTTACTGGTAAGTGTACATTTTACCTTTTGATACTTGGAAAACCAAAACATAATTGCTTTTCAACCTTTTTTTTTGTTCTCCAATTTTGATTGATATGTCCAAAATGTAACTTTCATTAAGAATCATCGAAGCACTTAAATTTTGATGAGGTTTTTTTTTATCTTCTTCTTCTATGTTATTGAATAGGTTTGAACTTGCAAAATACTACGAGCAGAAACTGGGAAAACTCAGTGAATTACCAAGTTCGCGCTATGGTTCAGTATCTGGGAGCCAATATGGAAGCACAATCAACACAGATTAAATCCAATCGGAGACGAAGTCGTCTCCCCCAAAAAAATTATTGAAGCATAACAAGATTCTGCTCACAAGGAGTGGGTTCTTCTATCTTGATGCTAGTAAATTTTTGAAACTTGTTTTCTAAATCGAAGTTTTCCAACCTGATCAATCGTATACAATGGTATTTATTTGGTTTAAGTGATTGGTATTCGAATTTTAATCATCCATTGTAATCCTTTTAATGTAATTTCTTTCACACCACAAAAACTGAGGATTTGAATTGATAATTGATCAGCAAAAAGATTGCTGTTAAATTTTGTTGAGGGCCATGTGGCAAGAATTATGAATCCCACATCGGAGGCATGAGAACATGTGAATCAGTTAATAAGTAAAGTGGTCTCAGAACCCATTAACTTGAGCTTTTGAGTTCAAATGGGTCTTATCTTACTTATTGGACTTCATGTCTGAGTTTTCTCCTCTGGATAAATCCCCAAGGAAACCTGCATAATTGTTCAGCGAATACCCTACTCAATTCATACCAAGTAAATTGGGTCATTATCTAAGTCTATACTATACAACATTCACTCAAATCGGTGAAAGCAGCTGCTTAGTTCGAATTGTACTATGGGAAAAGAAGACATTCCTTAAGCAATAATAGGGATTGCTGATGAACATAAACCAAACGAGACATGACCTTTATCAAATTACACAACCAACCAGCCCATTAAAAGAGGCGTATCACCTTCTTCATAGTTTACAATTATAATAAACTCGGGTTTAATTGGGAATATCTATCAGTGGCATCCTTGATCTGCCTCTGCAAAATTCTTAAAGCGTGGCTTCATGCGTCAGTAAATAAGTTATGCGTTAATCACCCTGCACGACTTGGCAGAGTAATTAACAATACAAACTAGAGCAGAAAATGTAACGAATTATTATTATTTTTTTTTGAAAACCAACTGAACAGAAATTTCATTAAGGAACAGAGAAGGATACAAATCGTTGATTACATGTTTTTGCCAAATGTGAACTACCTCTAGTGACCTTCTACTTACTTTTCTGATGGTACAAATATTAAATCTAGACACAAGCTCTTTTATTTCTAGTAAAGTATCTAGAAGCTCTATTGGGGCCTTATATGGCATTTTCAGAAACTGTATTAGATTTATAGAATCCGTGCCTATATTGGCAACTTGTAGTTGATGATCTTCAGCAAATTTTATTGCCTTTAAGCAAGTGATGGTCTCTGCTTGGAGTGCCGAGACAGCCTTAAATTTTATAGTATGTGTTTGATGAAGATAGATATTAAGAAGGCATTCGATATAGTGGAGTGGGGGTTTATAAAAGAGATGATGTATGTGTATGGGTTCCCGGAGAAATTTACAAACTGGATCATGGAATGTGTATGTTCATTCACACTGTCTATGAATGGTGCATTGGTGGGAAATTTTGCAGGAGGACGGGGACTCAGACAGGGGGATCTTGTCTCACCATATTTATTCGTTCTTGTTATGGAATACCTTACAAGATGACTAAAAATGGTGGCGGGAAACCCTAACTTTAAATTTCATCCTCTTTGTAAAAATTTTAAGTTAACCAATCTTTGTTTTGTAGACGACCTAATGTTGTTTTGTAAGGCAGACGAGAATGCACTCAAAAGTCTTATAGCAGGTCTCAATGACTTCTCAACAACAACAGGGTTGTTTCCTAATTTACAAAAGTCCCAGATATACTTTGGAGGAGTGCAAGCCGACTTGAAAACCAGATTATGTGGAGTTGCAGGATTCAAAAAAGGTGAATTCCCTGTGAGGTATCTCGGTGTCCCTCTTTTGCTTCAAAAATGGTCCAAACTGGAATGTGATTCTTTAATTCAAAAAATAATGGCTAGAATTAAAAGTTGGGAATCTAGGAATTTGTTGTATGCTGGGGGTGTGCAGCTCACTATTTCTGTTTTAATGTCCATACATGTATTTTGGGCTTGCAATTTTATTCTGCCTCAAAGTGTTATTAAGCAGGTTACTGGAATATGTAGGGACTTTGTTTGGGGTCCTAAGCAAACAGGTAGATCTATACCACTAGTAGCCTGGGATAATGTATGTAGGGAGAAAAAAGAAGGGGGATTAGGTCTGACGAATAATAAACTATGGAATCAGGCAGCACTTTTGAAGCAGGTCTGGAATATTGCCCAAAAAAGCGACACTTTATGGGTTAAATGGGTGCATGAGGTTTATTTGAAAGGTAGATCCATTTGGGATATAGAGGTCAAGCAGGACTCCAGTTGGCACTGGAAACAAATCCTGGAAGTTAGAAATGCTGGAAGGGATGGCTTTGAGGGATCTAACTGGCGATTTACCAGCCCAAAAAGGTATAGTATTTCTTCAGGTTATCACTGGCTTAAAGGAGAGCTACCAAAAGCTCCTGAAGCTTGTATAATCTGGTCCAAATTAAATGTTCCTAAGCATGCGTTTATAGCTTATAGCAGGGACGTTTGCTAACCAAGATAGGTACGCAGCAATGTTCATCACTGAGGTAGACCTTCAGTGTGCATTATGCCAACTATGTCCAGAAAGTCACCAACACCTTTTTGAATGTGGAGTTGCAGCTGAAATCTTTGAGAAGATTAGAAGCTGGCTTGGAACTAGACAGATCTCACTTGAATGGAATGCGTGGAGAAATAAAGTCAGAACCATTTAGAGGGGCACAAAACTAAAGTATCAGTTGTGGTGTTCAGCTACTGTGGCAGTAATATATCATGTCTGGGAGGAGCGCAACAACAACATCTTCAGGGGCTTCAGAAGAAGTACTGACGTGATTGTGAAGTTGATTCAAAAGGAGCTGTACTGGCAGTTGAAGACAAGGCAGAATGGGAAATGCTCTCCTACTGAAAACTTGATAGAACAGACTATTCCCTGATCAGTGTTATCTAGTGTGGAACAGGCTGGATAATTTTGACTTTTTTGGTTGTAAATATGAGTTTTTTGGTTGTATATATATATGTATATATATATAATTTACATTTTCCCAAAAAAAAACCCTCAAATTAGGATCAATTTCTGTGGATAGTGCCGAAGCTCTTGCTGCATCGAGGCTCTGTTTGTTGAAAGCACCATCAAATATCCAATTTAGTAAAAAGAACCATAGCTCTTCTCTCTGGGAAATATTCTCCAGCTTCTCTCTAGACCTACTGGTCAACGGGCTTGAAAATGTTAGAAATCCCACCCACCTTTGTACCAGATGGAGGTGGTGCTCCACCGCTCAAATCTTCTGAACCTACCACCGCTTTTAAGGCACCGCCCTCTCAGCCCCCCCTTGACACCAGAACAACAAAAAAACTAAGGTTCCCGGATACCCCATCCCAAAACCCTTCACAAACCCATAATCAGTCAGAATTGGAGGATGTTAGATTGGAGGACTCAAATTCCACATGCAAGAAAGTCTTTGTCTCATATGAGATGGAGGCCAAATTGTGTAGGAATTGGAAGAATGTCTTGATTCTCAAACCGATGGGCAGATCCATAAGCTATCTTAGCTTATGTAATAAGCTGTAGGAGCTCTCGGATGAGACCGATGGTTTTGCCTTGATGGATCTTGAAAGAGATTATTTCCTTGCAAAGTTTCGGAGTGAGGGGGATCTGAAAAGAATCCTTAAAGCCGGGCCCTTGTATTTTTAGGAGTCTATTTTCACATCTGGGAATAGGATAACTCGTTTGATCCGGCAACAGACCGGGTGAAGAGTCTAACGGTTTGGGCGCGAATGCCAGGTCTCCCAGCCCACTACTACAACAAGAATTTTCTTTGACATATAGGCCAACTCTTGGGGAAGGTTGTGCAGACCGGTCATCAAACGACGGCAAAGTCTCGGGGAAAATTTGCCCGAATGGCGATGGAGGTCAACTTGGAAAAGCCTTTATGTCAAGAATTGGAGATGAAGCACACGAAAAAATGTGTGGAGTATGAAAACCTGCCATGGATATGTTCCTATTGTGGCAGAGCAGGACACCTTGTATCGATTTGCCCCTTTAACCCACAAAAACCAACGGACCCGATTGTTCCACCGGCGGCTGGATCTAGTGACAAGATTGGGGAGAACAAGCATCAATCATCTGGCGAATGGATGACAATTCCAACAAGAGGAAGGAGGGGACCGGTTATTACCGATTCCCCAACGGATAAAGCCTCCACCTCTGGTCAAACATGTGGCTCCAGATTCGATTTTCGGGTGGACCTGAGTGGCGACAACAGTAAGGGCCAAGGTGGTGTGGAGCAAAGACAAGGAAGGATGATGGTGACATTCTGTCGGCGCCCCCTGCTCAATCCTCGTCATTCCTAGGCGCTCGAAAAGCTTCCGCACCTCAACAATCTTCCGCGGCAAAGAGTGGATCCAACCCCCACCGGAAAGCCAAAAAGAAGCCTAACATCTCCCAAGCTCAGATAGAAAAAACCCTAGACCCTGTCAGACCTACACCCGTATCAGCCCAACATGTTGCCCATAGCCCAGCCCAAGCTCAACCAGTTAAGACTCAAAAGCCCCCCCAAGCCCATAAAGAATTTATAGCCCAACAAGCCCCCACCACCCTAGACCCAGCCAAGCACCAAGTTATTACTTTTGCTCCCAAGACCAGCCCAGAAGACATGTGTAGCCCACCCCAAGCCAATATAGAGCCCCAACATGATGAACCCATTACCACCCCCCAATCCATGGACGACAGTCCACCCGAACATTATTCGGAATATGGGAATGATAACGGGTCTACTCTGATGGCCGGTGAATTACAGAAGCAGGAGGAGGACGGGAATGGAGACTGTCACATGGTGGATCTCGCCGGTGACCCTCCGACTCTGCCGCCTAGTGCCTAAGCCTTTCCAGATCACATCTCTGTAAGTATTTTATTAATGAGTCTGAAACTTCTCTTTCGGAATGTGTAAGGCGCACAATCAGAATTTTTTCAAAGTAAATTTAGGTTGTTGATATCCCAATACTCCACGGATTTAGTGGCGATCTTGGATCCCAGAATTAACGGGAAGGATGGGGATGAGTTTGTGAAGCGTAGTTCATTTGATCGATCGTGTAGAATTGAAGCAGTAGGGTTTGCGGGGTGAATATGGGTGTTATGGAAGGACCATGTACAGGTTGAGATCCTTCATTTGCATTGGCAATTTATGCATAGAAGGGTGAAATGGGGACATAGAGTAGCCTGGTGACTTTCGTTTATGCATCACCAAGGCCCAACATTCGACAAAATATATGGGAGGAGCCCCCCAAGCCCATAAATAATTTATAGCCCAACAAGCCCCCACCACCCTGGACCAACCAAGCACCAAGTTATTCTCTTTGCTCCCAAGACGAGCCCAGAAGACATGTGTAGCCCACCCCAAGCCAATATAGAGCACCAACATGATGAACACATTACCACCCCCCAACCCATGGACGACAGTCTACCTGAAACTTATTCGGAATATGGGAATGATAATGGGTCTACTCTGATGGCCGGTGAATTATAGAAGAAGGAGGAGGACGGGAATGGAGACTGTCACATGGTGGATCTCGCCGGTGACCCTCTCGCTCTGCCGCTTAGTGCCTAAGCCTTTCCAGATTATATCTCTGTAAATATTTTTTTAATGAGTCTGAAACTTCTCTTTTGGAATGTGCAAGGCGCACAATCGGAATTTTTTCAAAGTAAATTTAGGTTGCTGATTTCCCAATACTCCCCGGGTTTAGTGGCGATCTTGGAGCCCAAAATTAAGGGGAAGGATGTGGATGAGTTTGTGAAGCGTAGTTCATTTGATCGATCGTGTAGAATTGAAGCAGTAGGGTTTGCGGGGTGAATATGGGTGTTATGGAAGGACCATGTACAAGTTGAGATCCTTCATTTGCATTGGCAATTTATGCATAGAAGGGTGAAATCGGGGACAAAGAGTAGCCTGGTGACTTTCGTTTATGCATCACCAAGGCCCAACATTCGACAAAATCTATGGGAGGAGCTCCACAAGCTATCCAGCCCAGCCCAAGCTCAACCAGTTAAGACTCAAAAGCCCCCCCAAGCCCATAAAGAATTTAAAGCCCAACAAGCCCCCACCACTCTGGACCCAGCCAAGCACCAAGTTATTATCTTTGCTCCCAAGATCAACCCAGAAGACATGTGTAGCCCACCCCAAGCCAATATAGAGCCCCAACATGATGAACCCATTACCACCCCCTAACCCATGGATGACAGTCCACCCGAACCTTATTCGGAATATGGGAATGATAACGGGTCTACTCTGATAGGCGGTGAATTACAGAAGCAGGAGGAGGACGGGAATGGAGACTGTCAGATGGTGGATCTCGCCGGTGACCCTCTCGCTCTGCCGCTTAGTGCCTAAGCCTTTCCAGATCACATTTCTGTAAATATTTTATTAATGATTCTGAAGCTTCTCTTTTGGAATGTGCAAGGCGCACAATCGGAATTTGTTCGAAGTAAATTTAGGTTGCTGATATCCCAATACTCCCCGGATTTAGTGGCGATCTTGGACCCCAGAATTAAGGGGAAGGATGTAGATGAGTTTGTGAAGCGTAGTTCATTTGATCGATCGTGTAGAATTGAAGTAGTAGGGTTTGCGGGGTGAATGTGGGTGTTATGGAAGGACCATGTACAAGTGGAGGTCCTTCATTTGCATTGGCAATTTATGCATACAAGGGTGAAATCGAGGATAGAGAATAGCCTGGTGACATTTGTTTATGCATCACCAAGGCCCAACATTCGACAAAATCTATGGGAGGAGCTCCACAAGCTATCCAGGGGAGTCAGGGAACCTTGGTTGCTGGGAGGCGGCCTCAATGACACGCTACATGAATCGAAATAGAAGGGTGGCACCTCAAACCTCGTGTGCACTGTTTGTAGGGTGGATGGATGCAGGGTGGATGGATGCTGCAGAGATGATGGAGTTACAAACTTCGGGCTCAAAGTTTACCTAGAAAAGAGGTAACCTTCTTAAGATGCTTTACCGCTTTGTAGAAAATGAACTGTGGTTTGATAAATACCCAAATGCAGTCACACGACACCTTCCAAGGGTCGGTTCGGACCACAATCCTCTGTTAGTATGTGTCACAGGTTCTGTTGATCTGAGCTCCCGACAGAAAAAACCTTTCAAGTTTCTCGCCGCTTAGCTTTTACATGAGGGCTTTGATGACCTTGTTAGGAATCAGTGGCCTCCAGCCTCCTCTTTCTCTGTCGCATCAAAGAATTTCACCATGGCAGCGAAGGAGTGAAATGTGGCAACCTTTCGCAATATATTCCGGCGTAAGAAGCGTGTTTTAGCACGGATTGGGGGCATTCTACGGGCCAGGGAGTCGTACTACTCAAAGAAACTGGATGAGCTTGAAAAGGATTTGGTCAAGGAACTGGAGGTTATTTTGGCTCTGGAAGAGATGTTGCTAATCCAAAAATCCACACGTTAATGGTCCATACATGGTGATAGGTACACTAAGTTCTATCACTCACTTGTCAAGGAGTGTAGGAGGAGAAGCAGAATCGTGGCTTTGATGAATGCACAGGGTAACATGGTGACGGAGACTAGCCAGCTGGAGGAAATGGCTCGGGATTTTTTGAAAAACCTGTATGGTGTGCCATTGACGCACCTAGTGAGGTGTACCAGTCATAATGCATTTCCACCTTTGCCGCCGGAGTTGGTTCAGGAGATATCGATTGAGATCAGGGATGATGAAATTCTTCGTGCCTTGAAGGAAATGCACCCTCTCAAGGCACCAGGAGAGGATGGCTTCAATGCCTTGTTCTATCAAAAGCAATGGGCGACAGTGGCGCCTTCGGTGTGTAGCTTGGTCAGAAATTGCATACAGGAGGAGGGAAGCTTCGAGGAGCACAATAAAACGCTAATTGTCTTCATACCAAAGGTAGATAACCCCAACACAATCAAGGATTTTCGGCTAATAAGCCTTTGCAACACAGTTTACAAGCTTGTTACGAAAGTTTTGGCCAATAGAGTGAAGGTGGCACTCCCGGCATTGATTGGACCAGCGCAAATAAGCTTCGTCCCCGGCCGCCATATAACCGACAATATTATACTTGCACAGGAGGCCATTCACTCTATGAAAATGATGAAAGGGAAGAAGGGTTTTATGGCCATTAAAATCGACTTGGAAAAACCTATGATATGGTTCAATGGGAGTTTGTGGAGGATACACTTTCACAAGCGGGATTCCTAACAATGATAGTGGGTAGCATAATAAGGTGTGTTACTACAGCGTCCACGCAAGCACTTTGGAACGGCAGGCCGTCAGAGGAGTTTAAACCAACTCGCGGCATAAAGCAAGGGGACCCAATTTCCCCCTACATCTTTGTTTTGTGTCTGGAAAGGCTTGCCCACATTATTTAATAGAAGGTTCGTAAATGGGAATAAAAGGCCTTGCATTTTGGCAGAAGCCGACTGCAAATCCCTATGCTTTTGTTTGCTGATGACGTTTTGCTCTTCCTAAAAGCTTCAACCAGCCAGGCAACTTTGTTGAATGGAATCCTAAGGGATTTTTGCTAGGCTTCTGGACTAAGAGTGAGTGAGCCCAAGACTAGAGTCTACTTTTCCAAGAATGTGGGACCAGCGGTTAAGGAGGAATTAAGCCGGCAGCTGGGTCTCAAATAGGTTGTGAATTTGGAGAAATACCTTGGGGTCCCTTTAATTCATGGCCGTGCAAACAGCCACACTTAAGAATTTATTGTTGAAAAGGTTTGAAGGCGGCTAGCGGGATGGAACGTAACAAGTTTGAGCACCAACAAATTTTTAACTTCGCTTCAAGAAATTATTTTGTTGTGAAGACCAAACAAATCGGTCCCACAGGGCGTGTCACTTGACGAAACTTGGATTTGTATGGTGCTTAGGACAGGCGGCGATGATGACCTAGGCGGCGACGGACGGCCTAAAAACTGCAAGACAAAGCCTCGGGTGTCTCCCGAGGGTAGACTCTCCGATGCTTAAGTCAATAAGAGAATACAGAGAGTAGAGAGAGAAGGATGTGTATCGTGTGTAGAAGGTGTAGAAGATAGGTAGAAGGTATGAATTATGAGAGAGGCACCACCTTTTTATATAGAGGTGGTGTTACCTGTTTCCTGAAATCCTAGCGTAATAGGTTTAGACGGTGGCTTAATCCCCAAGTAACCTAATTCTAGGATAGGCCTAGGGTTAATTTATGACTCGTCAGCAGGAGAATAATATTTGTGTTGTTCCAGCCTTCCGGCATGATACCCGATTCGAAGAATTCATGAATTGATTCTAGAACTGTATGACCGATTATATTCCGGTATTTTTGGTAAAATCCCACTGGGATACCATCGCGTCCAGGAGGTCTCCATGGGGCCATTTGTTTAATTGCTTGTATGATTTCATCCGAGGAAAAAGGGGATTGTAACAAGGAAATTTTATCATCTGTTAAGGATAATGTGATTCTGCTAATGAGGTCATCAAAGGAGAATATTTCTGCTTGGTCAATTGGATAGGGATCATTGTGACAATATAGTGACCGAAAATGTTGTGCCATAACGTCCCTGATCTCCTCTGGTTGAAAGGTCCAATTTCCTTGATTAGTTTAATCCCATTGTTGCGATTTCCCCTCTATCTAATAGTAGCCCATTTGTGAAAAAATTTTGTGTTTCTATCACCTTGTATATTCTGTAAATGTTTTGAGCGTTGCTGCCAATATACA